AAAGTGCAAAACGCAAGTACGCGAGAATTTCATTTCACTTGCGTGTAATTCCAAGTGTATATTACATGCGACATTTTATCTCTGATGTATATCCATCACTTCACATCAGTAAATGTGTCAGTAAATGGTGTTATAATTACTTGCCTCACGTAACTGCCAGCGATAACACGCGTAGAATTCGGTAATTGCTGTTTGGCCAACATGCACTCCTTATACTGTCCAAATACAGTAACGTGACCTCGAAGAATTCCCACAGGTGGTAATTTTGCACTTGCGTCAATCACTGCAAGAAAGCATATATTCCAATAATAACCCTATCAATTTCATTCAGTTTCAGCGTTCAGTGTCATATCACAGATATCTGACATGACGATTGTCTCTCTGATAAGACATTTGATGGTGATAAGGCATCGATGACAAAACATTGACAGAGTAGTTGTGATTAGAGCAAATAATATTGGAACACAATCCGAAGGCCTAGATCATATAGCAATGATCAAGCAATTTGACATACCCTCCTCGATAAGTATCCAAATTAGTAATTTCCCACAGATCGTGCTCAGACTGTCAACTTGCAATAACTAATTATGTTATCAAATGCTAAAATTAACTTGGAAGCAACGCATTCTGCAAATAAGATTTTTGCCAGTTGGACATTTCGTTGGCATTTATGAAGTCAGAAATGGTTTGCAGCGATAGTTTCATGTCCTTTTTGCAATCTGCAAATATTTTATGATTCTAAAGTAGTTATTCTTTTTCACTGAAAAATAAAAAATCAGTTTCCAAATTGATACTAAAATATTTCACATTTGCTCAATTTGGACTTGAAATCACTCGAAATTTTAGAAAATTAATAAAAATTAGCATGCAACATGCTACATAACAATCACAATCTGCGTGCAAAGTACGTGCAAATAATGAGAACCTTCAACAATATCAAGTTTATCGATATCATGCTTCAGTTGATTCATTTTGGAGTTGATTTTTCCATTTAAAATTTCCATTTCAAGGCTCGATAATATCTCTTGGAACCACAAAAATGGAATATTCTGAAGAAATAAAAGAGGAAATCTCTGCTTAATTAGATTGAATCTTTTCACACCATTGATTGCACTGATATATCGGTAGATTTTCATGGCGAGAATACTTGCTTACATTTAAAATTTCTCGCAAGTTCAATGATTTCATTTCTTATTTGAATTTTTTTCTCTCTGGTTTTATTTAAATAAATGTATCTATTCTTTCGTGACAACTTTATCATAATCTCGTAAAAAATTATCATAACCACCTTAAAATCAATTATGGCTTTTACTTATAAGATGAATCACTTAATTAATCAAATTTCGGATTGATTTACTCCGTTTTCTCGATTTATGTAATTTTGAAATAAGGCTAACAGTTATTGTTTTCTGGTAATTTCCCTGGAACCTAAGAATACCATTCGGAATTAAACCCAAATATTTCATGTTACTTCTATCGATTTCAACAGCAGCTAAAGGTACCAGTGAGAAAGTGAATATGGACAAGAGAGCCAATGTCATCATTGAGCTCATTTTTGACTCTGAAATGATCAATGATTAACATCCCTTTCTCATTTATTAATGCATAGCAACTTTTCCTAACATATTCTCGTTATGACGTGGGTATATTTTAAATTACGTCAGAATGAAAATCATGGAGAAAACAATAATAAATGGAAAAGAATGAAACAAAAAGCATCGAGAAAAGGAATGAAAATAAAGTTTATCAGTGCTTTGGCTTATCAAAAAGCTTTTTTTATCAAAAAAAATTCTTTTAATGTTTATGACTGAAACATAGCTGCTTGCCAAAAAAATAAAGAAGAAATTGACAGTTTTAATTATATAAATGAGCTGGTTAGAATATCGGAATCCTTCTGGAAGATCAGTCTTTAAATCTCAATCCTACCGGTATTGGTGATGAGAATGATAAAGACTTAATGTTGATAATTGAGCAGTGATTAGTTCGTTGACCACCAGTGACTGCTGCAGTCTCTGAGATTCTTGGCCTCGAGACTCTGACAAGAGAATTCAGAAGTGTTGTTGATGACTGGATACATTATTGTACAAGTGATATATTTATAGCAATTACATTCCATCTTCCAATGATATTTTTTCCATCTATTATGAGGTACCGATTTTATAATACGACTCACTGATCATTTATCTTGAATATTATGATTTTAAAATTTAGCCCATGAAATAAATTAATTAGCAAATTTTAAGAATGAACATAAATATCATATCAATTTAAATTAATTTTGTAAATTTCTATTGTCTTTCGTAATTATTTCCATTCCAGTCCCCTCACAAAACTTTGCTATCATGCATTTTGTTCAATCTAATTGCTAGAATATTGCATTATTATTAGTAATATTCGCATCGGTTATGTGACCAGCAATCGCTGCTTCCAGGTATAACTTTCTTCTAAAAAGATATCCCGTCAGATAGTTTCCAAATTATTTTAAAACATATCAATTGAATCATAACTTAAGCTTTCCATTGCCATAACTATTCAACAACGCATTCAAAACTGTTGAAGGAATTTCGTATGATTGAATGGAATTGAAACAAAATTCATTTTACCTCTCGCTGACATACATAATTAATTTAATTTTTTGTGAAGAATAACAGTGGCAGAATATTATGAGTAAATACAATTCCAGAATAAATAATTTGGAATGAATTTCTTTTTTTCTTTGGAAATATATCAATGTGTTATAATTTTTCCTCGATAGCTTTATGTCAGCAAAGGTGTTATTATGAATATAAATACAAATACTATCATCTTTCACAAAATGTAATTCACTACTTTGAAGAATCATTCCCTTCTGAAATTAGCAAAACGAATTTAATCAAATGAGGCACATAAATTTTATTATTGTCACACTGCTACGCAGGTAACAATTCACCTTCAAATCAACTTTTTCGCTCGCAATTTTTTGTCGTAATTCAATTTTAAAAACTTATTTTTGAAATGGATTCTTGAGTAATATTTACGTCATTCTTATTGTTTTTCGTCATTCGCTTCTATTTTAACTATTATCATACAATATGCAGAATCAAATCATTTAACGTTGAATCTTAAAAAAAAAACATATTTTATTATTGACAATGCCGCTACGACCACCATTTTAATTACTTTTAGTTGTAAAATTAAAAATATCTGAATTTTTAAAAAGAGTGATAAGAAATGAAAATATGTGTTAAAATTAAAGTAGAGCTATTTTTAATTAAAGGGAAACATTTTTTCTCAATACTGCTTTTGTCTTTTAACAATAATTGCTCTGTTAGGCAACCGATAATTTTATTCATTGCTCAAATTAAAATTGAAATTTCAAAAACAAGTGGGTAATTTTTTTTCAAAGTTGGAATTTATTAAAAGCCAAAATTATGGTAATTTTTCTAATTACTTGCTGATGACAATTTCACAAGTCTAGGTTTTTATTCAGATTTTAACTTGTCACGCAATAATTATGGCATTCTAAGCTACTTTCCTTCACAAAATTTCGATTTGGAAAATAATCTTTTTAGAGAAAATATGTTATAATCACGATATATGACTATTATAAGCTTTATTATAAGCTTTGCTCTGATGTCATATCAAAATGATCCAATTGTTTTATACGTTTGTGCCTAAAATGCCTTGTAACCACAAGAAACGGATATAAATTTGAACTCTCATTCACTTAGTAAGTGATGATGATGAAAA